GAAATTCTGCACTCCCCCCAACCCTATGACTGTGTTTTGTTTTTTTCCTCTTTTCCAGAGGAGACTGGACAACCACTCATTTTTGACAAAATGTACGTTGGGCATATGCCCCCCTTTCTTTTTTGGCATGTTTTTGGGTGAGGGGGGAGCGAATACCTTGCTCTGACAGGTGCCCGCTCCCACTTCTGGTTCAATCGCCACAGGGCGAAGAACTGCTATTGAATTGTTTGGATTGCATTTACTATTGTCTGTGTATTATCACTATTCTTAAAGGGATGGTGCTACACATTATTGTATACATATCTGAAGTATCCGTTTGTGGATATTAGTGGAAGCGGCTATCTTGACCTGTGATATTGGTTATACGTTTTTCCAGTTTATATCATTTTTCTCCGTATACTTTTGATTTTTATTGCATTAGAGCAGAGTTCACTAGGGATTTGGTATATATTTGTAAAATAATGTATTGGATGTTTGTACACTGCATAAAGAGACACACACACTTCAAAGTCTCTTCTCTCTTTATCTGAGAATTTTGCTAATTTGTGTGTATGCATATGGATTTTCTATAGATCTTTATAAATGAACGCACTTTGTACCATACAGATGTCTGGCAATCCAGGAGTTCCTAGGATCCAAAACTTTTGACACAGCTGTTTGAGTTCATGAATGACTTTTTCCTAAGACCTTTTAGCAATTGCCATAATGACAGTAAGGGCTCATATTAACGATTGTGTGTCTTCCTGCACTTGGCAATAAGGAAGTGTGTGTGTCTTCCCAAAACATGTGCAAAAACAAAATGCCAAAGTATGCAAAAAGTGCATGTGAAATCCATTCAAAACAGTGCACTTAGGGTGTGTCCTACGGTCCCTCCTGAAGAGAATGGACCCTTTCCTGGCCTTCTGTGGTGCAGGAGTTTTGACCTGGGACAAGGCACACGTAGGTCCTCCAAGCCAAAAGACCTGGTGGATCCTGTTCCTAATGCCAAGTCGAGGCAGAGCACTGTCCAGAAGAGGACTCCCTTCATCCAAGGCAGGGGAGGATGTTTGGCCCTTAGGTTCTATCCTCCCCTGCCTTGGATGGAAACTAAGGGCTAAACATCCTTGACCTAGACTTCAGGGTAGGCCCGAAAACACCTTACAATCCAATTCAAGAAGGGACAGAGATGAGCAAAAAAATACAGGAAACACAGAAAATGGGTGCTAGTGCAACGGCAAGACCTTGTGGCCTGCTAACACAAATTACCCCATTCTGGGCCTAAAAGCCTATCCCGTGAGGCATAGCACAGGAAAAAAAAAGCTTTGGTGACGTGGCCTAATACTGTTTCACACAGTGGGGTACCACGATCCTAGTACTACTTTCGCAGACAATCTTTTTCAGGACACCACTCTCAGGGGAACTTGTCACTGTGAGGTGTCTGCCTTCCCAGCTCTTGACCAGACAAGGTAGCACAGTCAAACAGCGGAGTCACTGGGCCACTCAGGATCCTCCACAAGGGAATTACTCCCATTCCCCCACCTCACCCAGTGGGTGCCCTGGTTTCCTTTCCCATGGGAAGATCCCTCAGGACCCCCATCATTTCAGCACGGGTACTATACTTCCAGCCATTCGGCCAGAATGAAGGCCGAGTACCCCCTACTGAACACCAAAAAGAACAGATACTTCAAATGATCTTCACCAAAAGGTCAAAGAGTGGTCCGAAAAATCCGGTGAGCTTTTAATGCATATGGCAGTTCAGGGACTGCTTTTGACCAGCAGGTCAAATGCAACCTTTTCTAGTCATGATGTGAGGTGTTTTTTTTGTGTTTTTTGTTTTTTTCTTTTATGCAGTTGCTTGTGTTTTGTCCTCACCTGCTTGCTTGTTTCAGGTCAACAAGCAGCTGGAGTTTTCAGAAGATTACCTTTAACAGAAACCTGTCATGACAGAAAAATGTAGGCTTTGAAAACCCTGGGCGAAGACATGAGAGTTGATTATCTGCAAAGAGATTTGCTTCTTTGCATTCAGTCCTGAGATTGCATAGCTTTCACAGCATACAGTGCTGTCTGGCAGGAAAGGGGACATGATCTTTCTCTGCTGCAGTTTCTCTTACACTTGCTGGTCTTCTAACACCCCCCACCCTGTGGTTGGACCATGAAAGAGAAACTGTACATGGAGGAGTGAGCAAGAGTGACTGCTTTGTGTATTGCTGCTATGGGAGCCACCCATTTTGGACCGCTCTTGTGTTTTTGTCTATTTTAAAGGTTAAATAATGCTTTTGGGGTTGGTATGCGATGGGCTTTGTAGATTTTTATGGCTGTTTTTTCTCCCCTTGTTTATGCACAGTGAAGGCCTACAGGTGAAACTCGAAAAATTAGAATATCGTGCAAAAGTTCATTTGTTTCAGTAATGCAACTTAAAAGCTGAAACTAATATATGAGATAGACTCATTACATGCAAAGCAAGATAGTTCAAGCCGTGATTTGTCATAATTGTGATGATTTTGGCTTACAGCTCATGAAAACCCCAAATCCACAATCTCAGAAAATTAGAATATTACATGCAATCAATAAAACAAAGATTGTACATAGAATAATATAAGCATGCATATGTACTCAGTACTTGGTTTAGGCCCCTTTTGCAGCAATTACTGCCTCAATGTGGCGTGGCATGGAAGCTATCAGCCTGTGGCATTGCTGAGGTGTTATGGAAGACAAGGATGCTTCAATAGGGTCCTTCAGCTCTTCTGCATTGTTCGATCTCATGTCTCTCATCTTTCTCTTGGCAATGCCCCATAGATTCTCTATGGGGTTCAGGTCAGGCGAGTTTGCTGGCCAATCAAGCACATTAATCTCATGGTCATTGAACCAGATTTTGGTGCTTTTGGCAGTGTGGGCAGGTGCCAAGTCCTGCTGGAAAATGCATTCCGGATCCCCATAAAGCTCATCTGTGGAAGGAAGCATGAAGTGCTCCAAAATCTCCTGATAGAAGGCTGCGTTGACCCTGGATTTAATGAAGCACAGTGGACCAACACCAGCAGATGACATGGCTCCCCAAATCAACACAGACTGTGGAAACTTCACACTGGACATCAAGCATCTTGAAGTGTGTGCCTCTCCATTCTTCCTCCATACTCTGGGTCCTTGGTTTCCAAATGAGATGCAAAAGTTGCTCTCATCAGAAAAGAGGACTTGGACCACTGAGCAACAGACCAGGTCTGTTTTTCTTTAGCCCAGGTAAGACACGCTTCTGACGTTGTTTGTTGTTCAGGAGCAGCTTGACAAGAGGAATACAACATTTGAAGCCCATGTCCAGGATGCGTCTGTGTGTGGTGGCTCTTGATGCACTGACTCCAGCCTCAGTCCACTCCTTGTGAAAGTCCCCAACACTTTTTGATTGGCCTTTTCCTGACAATACTCTCCAGGCTGCGGTCATCCCTGCTGCTTGTGCACCTTTTTTTCCACACTTTTCCCTTCCACATAACTTTCTATTAATGTGCTTTGATACAGCACTTTGGGAACTTCCAACTTCTTTTGCAATTACCTTTTGAGGCTTTCCCTCCTTATGGAGGGTGTCAATGATGGTTTTCTGCACAACTGTCAGGTCAGCAGTCTTTCCCATGATTGTGATTCCTACTGAACCAGACTGAGAGACCATTTAAAGGCTCAGGAACCCTTTGCAGGTGTTGTGGATTAATTAGCTGATTAGAGTGGGACACTTTGAGCCTAGAATATTGCACCTTTTCACAATATCTAATTTTCTGAGATTGTGGATTTGGGGTTTTCATGAGCTGTAAGCCATAATCCTCACAATTATGACAAATCACGGCTTGCACTATCTTCCTTTGCATGTAATGAGTCTATCTCATATATTAGTTTCACCTTTTTAAGTTGCATTACTGAAATAAATGAACTTTTGCATGATATTCTAATTTTTAGAGTTTCACCTGTATAATGACTTTGTTACGCATGGTCTGTAACCCTATTTGCCCCTCTTGCTCCAGTCAGTCATTGAATACCTCTTGCTAGTACAGTTTTTTTGTGTGTCTACTAGTGGTATGGCAGCCTGTGGTGACCTAGTCACATACAGCCATTAAACTCCTACTGCTCTGAGTAAGTCTATGCATAGGCTGTGTCATTCAGTTCTTACTGAATACTGTTTTCACAGTGGTCTGTGGCAGCCTGGTCACACATGGCTTTCCACCCTAGTGCTGTGCAGTGGTCTGAGTATCTTTTATTGGTACCGTCTCACTGGCTTACCATTTTGTATAGTGACTTGTGGTGACTAGTCACGCATGACCGTCATCTTCTGCTGCTCTGCAGTGGGTCTGAGAGACCTAGGTATTTCTTTCACTACACCAAAGAAGATGCAGCATGCTGGACTTTAAAAATGTGCAGCATTTGCAACGCAGTGGTGTGAAGAGTCCCATAGAATTCAAAGGGATTGAGTTTTTGCTGCGTTTTTAGCACAATAAAAATGCATCCGTGTGAAAGCAGCATAAAAGCTAAAGTGTAGCCTGTCCGTATAGTGCAACTGAAACAGCATTCATGAATAGTCCCAGCCCACCATTGCAACCTAAATGTCAAGGTGAAAAAGTATACTTAATCAGTCTATTAGGTCACTGATCTGCAATCATGGCTCTCTATACCCTAGTCCATCACTTGATGAATCCATATTTTGTATGAGGCATACAGGAGGGTGTATCCAGTCAAGAAAAGTCTGCTTGACCAGTTTTTTTGAAACACCGGCAGCATGAGGCTATAGTGGCTGTCAGCAGAAGCTGCAGCACATTGATATTTTACAAGGTAACAACTGTTTGGAAAGGCATTTTCTGTGCACTCAGTGGATTTATATCCCTTTGTGGCTATTGAGGATTATATTTACAGTACAAGTTTTTTGTCCTTTTGTAGTAGTAAGAAGCCTTCTCATCATTGTGCACTCTACTTCAGTCTTTCTTAGGAACTTGTTTATTAAAAAAGGAATATAGGAATTGCATTAATTTATTGAATTTGTTTTCCTTCAGATGGGGTCGTGGATTTGGACTTTTGGGTTCCATTTTTGGAAAGGACAGTGTAATGAATCAGCCAAACAGTGTCTTTGGACTTATATTTTATTTACTACAGATGCTTCTTGGTGAGTATTTGTAAAATGTTCTATCGACAAAGTATACATATGTAAGTATCAAGGCTACCCACAATGGTTTTTGTAATTTGAAAACCGTAGGGTGTTGATCTACAAATGGTTTACTGTGAGGTAACTGCTAGTGGTCTACAATTGTTAGTCATATGTCCGGTCAGTATGTATTAACAGCCGCAAAGCAGACATTTATGGCATTCTGTTTATTTGAAAGAGATACTCCAGGAATGTGACAAACCCTTACCCCCAACCCTGCAAGGCTTAAATGCTTGTTTAGACTAGGCGAGCAGAAGAGGCAGTGCTACTTACCCAACTCCTGCTGACTTTGGTGCTCTCCTCCTCTCCCTAAAACTCAGGTCTTTTAACCCTGCATTGTATGCAGAGGGGATGAGCATGATACCGCAGTCCAAAGCGTCCTAGAGAAGAGGCTTCGGGGGACTTGCCTCATAGAATGAAGAAGCCTGCTGGTGCCAGAAGTAAGGTAAGCATTTCTCCATATCCGTGCACCCCTAGGCAAAAAGGGCATCTAACCCTTGCAGTGTGGGAAAATGGGGGATGGGGGGTTAGATTCTGGCTGTGGTGGAGAGGCAGATGCCATGGAAAATGGCTTAGCAGACCTTGCCTGAATCGATTTTGTTCTTGAATGGGACAGGAAATTCAAGGGCTAGAACACAACACTGGGATAAGAGTGGGGGTTTGGCCAGTTTGACAGATCATTCAGTCATCTTGCTTACATTTACATTAAAGAGGCACTTGTAGGTCAGACAAATATAACATAACAGTTATAATGAAATAACCACAAATGTCTTTTCTGTGCTCACAGCATTATCAGTTTTATTCAACCCCCAAGTGACATTCATTCTTAGTACTTAGTACAGCATCCTGGCTGTGGTGGAGAGGCAGATGCCATGATTTCCATGAACACTATTCTGCAGTCGACTCTTCTTATTCTTTGGAGACAGCAAGGGGGTACGCCTGGGAGTTCTGGCACGGAGGCCTTCATTACGCAGTGGGGTGCGTCTTATTGTCTGGTGCTGAAACTTCTGTTACCACATCTGACAAATCTTTTCCTCAATTCTTTTCTCTTCGAAGTCAGCCTCTTCTTTCTCCGCCAATCAGAGGAAGCATTATATTCATAAAAATACAAAGCTTCCTTTTTGAATGGCTTAGCAGACCTTGCCTGAATAGATTTTGTTCTGGAATGGGACAGGAAATTCAAGGGCTAGAACACAACAGCTGTATTTAGCTGACACTGCTACATATAGGCCTCCAGTTCAGTTATACTGACTGCTGACAGTGAGTACAGTACATCTAATTGTAGTGAAAGAATTCATGGTATTTGAAGTTTGCAGGCCCCAGCATGATTGACCCTCCACCATGCCACAGTAGAAGGTGTTCTTTTTCATAGGCCTTGTTCTCTCCTCCAAACATAGCGTTGATCCATGGGCCCAAACAGTTTAAAGTCCACAGAAAATCCCAAACTGGTTTGTCCACATGGCTTTTGGCATACTGCAGTTCTTCTTATTCTTTGGAGACAGCAAGGGGGTACGCCTAAGGCCTTCATTACGCCTATTGTCTGGGCTGAAACATCTGTACCCACATCTGACAAATCTTTTTTTTTGACTTCTTACTCTACGCTTCAGGTGTAACATAAAGGTAGCGTTTCAAATTTTGCCTTGAATTTATAGGGCCATTTTAACATCTTTGCAATCTTCTTATAGCCATTGCCCTTCCTGTGAAGAGAAATCACCTCTTCTCTTGTCTTCCTGGACCATTCTCTCTTGCCTTCACCATGTTTGTAACACAAGTAAATGTCTAGAAGGAGCTGAGTATCACAGTCATTTTAAAAAATTGGTGCTTACTTTGATTGCTGCTCGGTGACATCCACAGGTGTTTTCAATACCTGATGGAAAGCACTGTATGAACCTCTGTTCTTCAGAGTGTCTTTAAGGGGTTGAATAATTGTGGCAATGAAGAAACCACATAAGAACCATTTACTACTGTATTACATAAAATGTCTGTGGGTAGTTACAACGTCCTTGTAGGATTTGATTCTGAATACAATTCCAAATGTACACTATAGTCCCTAAACCCCTTTACAGCATTGGGGGTTGAATAATTTTGGCCACAACTGTAATTGTTGAAATATTTTGTTTGGGACCCCAGAATTACCTCTTATTTAAAGTGAAATGAAAACTGGATTTTCACTACTTAAGGCTGCCTATCTGACTATGTGTAACATAAACCTAATTTTGGTATATAGGCCATTTTAACATGTCCGTTTTGGGGGTATTATACAGACTTGTGCACTGTGAGGAAAACTTTATAATTTTGTGTGGTTTGTGTTTTTTCTACCTCTCGGACAGATCTGTCTAGAAGTATCCATAAGATTATATGCACATTAAATATCTAAACAGGTGAGGCTTTTAACCACAAACATGTCCACAATACGTTTAAAGTGTAGCTAAACCCAGGACCCTTTTATTCACTATATCTGGTCTCTCTCAGTACACAGAACATGGAAATGCAATTATTTCAGTAAATATAAACTGCTAAATACCTTTTCTCATCAGCAGTATATAGCAGTCATGTGACTTCTATCAGTGTTCAGCAGAGCAATGGTTAAAGCTTGTAGGAGTTTTTTCTAGAAGGATGCAGATCCTCTGACTTCTGGTCAGTGCTGATTGGCCCTCTGCTAATCACATGCACTCTCCCAAGAAAAAAAAAAACTCTCTAGAAATGCACACCAAATTGAGCATGTGTAGAGTGACTCCACACGATATGTCTTTATCAGGAAGTGAGGGGGGCACTGAAAGAAGTCAGGATCAAACAGCATTTTTACACAATGCAGAGGATTATTCACCCCTTAGATTCCACAGTGAGTATGATGAGCATTCTTTACTGCACAGACTGACTTTACTGCTGTGGGTTTAGTAACACTTTAAAAGCCCTGAGACTGTAGCAGCCACCGCCGTATTTGATGTTAGCAGACCCAGAACTGTTTTCCACGTGACACTGTAGTTTCCTCTGTTGCAACATCAAAGGTTATGTAAGGTTGGGAAGGGTGGAGAAGTTGGGTCCCTCAGAAGAGGAAAGCGCTTTGACTTCCAAGGAAGGAGGGGACTGTGCTAGTGAATGACATTTTTCAAAGTAGTTACATTTTCTAGCAAGTTTAGAGGCACATTACAAGTCAATAAGCAATTGTTTATGAAAATTAAAAAAAAAAAAAACATCTGCAGAAAAGTATTTAGGATACTTGATTTTGCTGTGCTTGTACTTCCAATTTTTACATTGATGGCGGGATTTTCTTTTATGTATTTTAGATAAAAAAAGTTACATTGTTGGGGTGAAAAAGACAGTCCTTCCAGTTCAAAAAAAATCCCAAAATAAACAAAAAATAAGAGTAAATAAATAGAAAACCTTCATATATACAATCATATACCCAGGGGTGATCCAGAGAAAGGGGCAAAAAAACCCTGCATGGTCCAGTTTGCTCCAGTGGGGGGAAAAAAATCCTTCCTGATCCCACAAAAAGCAATTGGATATTTTCTGGATCAACTATTCCTGGTATTGTTGCGTATAAATGTTAATATCTAGTTTTTGTGCATCCAGCACTTCTTGAGGGAGCCTGTTTCACTTTTTTTTACAGCTTCTTACTGTGAAAAAACCTTTGTATGTGGAAGTTAATTTTTTTTTTTTTTTTTTTTTTTCATCCAGAGTGCCCCCTTGTCCTTTTTTGCAATGACCTTAAAGTGAATATATCTACACCAACTTCACTATATGGACCACTTGTTTATATATACAGTACTGTGCAAAAGTTTTAGGCAGGCATGAAGAAATGCTGTAAAGTAAGAGTGCTTTCAGAAATATATATTTTAATAGTTTTTATCAATTTGCAAATTCAAAGTGAGCAAACAGAAGAAAAATCTAAATCAAAACTCAATATTTGGTGTGACTACCCTTTTGGCTTCAAATCAGGGTCAATGCTTACATTTGCACAATTTGTACACTAGCACAAAGTCAGGAATTTTGTAAGATTAGAGTCAGGTGTATGATTAATCAATTTATACCCAGCAGGTGCTAATGATCACCTGTTTCTGTAGGTTGAAACAAATAGCTGTGTAGGAGGCTTAAAGCTGATTGAGGAACAGCCAAACTCTGCTAAGGTGAGCTGGTGGAAGATGATTCCATGTCACAGGTCAAACACAAGGAGTCCTGGAAGTGATGGTTTGGCCCCCACAGAGCCCTGATCTAAGCATAGAGTCTGTCTGGGATTAAATGAAGAGACAGAAGGGTTTGAAGCAGCCTACATCCATAGAAGATATGTGGTTAGTTCTCACAGGTGTTTGGAACAACCTACTTGCTGAGTTCCTTTTACAAGCTGTGCAAGTGTACCTAGAATTGACAAAGCCATGCTGTTTTGAAGGGAGAGGGTAATCACACCACACATTGATTTTATTTGGATTTCTGTTCTGTTCATTTACTTTCCATTTTGTTAATTGGTAAAAAATTAACACTTTTTCTAAAAGCATTCTTAATTTGCGGTATTTTTTCACACCTGCCTAAGACTTTTGCACAGTAGTGTGTGTGTGTGTGTGTTGTGTGTGTAACATTTGTGTTCATAGGGGTTAGATGCTCTGCTTTGTGTATAATCTCATTTGTGTTCATAGGGGTTAGATGCTCTGCTTTGTGTATAATCTCATTTGTGTTCATAGGGGTTAGACGCTCTGCTTTTGTTTTTTTTTAACATCAACCTGATATCTCAGTTGTAGTAATGTTGGGTCTTAATAATTTATATATGTCAATTCTTTGAGCGATTATTCACCTTGAAAATCCCACAAAACTTTTTTTTAATATATGTCGCATGAAACCGGTTTACTTTAGGTTGCTCCTGACCCCCTTTTACTTTTTTAATGAGGTTGCTGCTGCAGCAGACCTTGATGTCCACATAAGCAAATTTTTATTGTATACAAAATATATGCCTCATGCACATGGGTTTATGAAAATAAGCAGCATTTTTTTTCTGCTATAATTTTGCAGGAAAACCGCCTCAAATGTTACAATGTGTGCACTCATGGTGTTTAAAAATGCATTCTTTCTTCTGGCCTTTAAAATACATTTACGTGCATATGCACTTGTTTGTGTGTCTTTTAGATGCGTACGTGTTGTTGTTTTTTTTTTTTTTTTTTTTCTCTTCCTGTTTAAAAACTCCTTGGAAACACGACTTGGCTGTGGGTTTTTTTTTTTTTTTTTTTTTTAATTCAATGTGCATGAGACCATATTGTAACAAACTTATTACATTGGATTTCTGAATAAACTGTATCAGTGGTCTCCAATCTGTGGCCCGGGGCCAGATGTTGCCCTTGGCTCGTTTTTATCTGGTCTGCTTTGAACTGGCCCTTGGAGCACAGTTCCACCAACTGACATCAGTGGGACACTATACTCCCATTTGATACAATGGGGGACTATTTCTTTTCAAGCCAATGATTGGGCATTTTTTATACCTACTGATGCCAGGGCATTTTCTGCCCCCACTGGTCAGTCTGGGCCTCTTTAAAATCTGAAGGACAGTAAAGTGGTCTTTTGCTCAGAAAGTTTGCAGACCCTGATTAATACAACCACTACAATCTTTATTCACACTACAGCAACTTTCTGTGTTCCTGGTTTTCAAAGTGACTTGCATTCATTACATCAGGCAGGGTGGGTGATATGGGGAAGCCTTGGGCATTCCAGGCGGAAAGAGTGAGCAAGACCTTGGGCCTATGAGCTACAACCAAGGTCTTGGGCATACAAGATAAGCCCCTATACAAAATCTTGAACCAAAGGCCTCATGCAGGCCATAGACGGTTCGTTTACCTGCCGATTTCTTTTTTTTTTTTTTTTTTTTTTTTTTTTTTTTTTTTTTTTTTTTTTCAGCCGTAAAACGAAACGTCAGTAATTCTGTTGCCACCAATGATTGCGAAAATCGGCCATTTTTCGAAAATGTTCCAGCATGACCGATAAAAGAAATGAGGAACTGCAAAAATTATTATTTCGAACAAAAAATCGGCAGATAAACGAGCCGTCTATGGCCTGCATTCAGCTCTGTTCACGTACAGGTGTTTTAACTCATGGGCGGAATTGCAGCGATTCTGGCGATTTGAAATTTTTCTGTTTAAAATGTGAAATTGTGCATCAGCGTGTTCAGGTGTCATTAATTTCAGATGGCAACTGAAAATGTGGGGTGTTTTTTCCACACAAATGAAATTGCGCATTGCTTAAAAGAAGGTCCAGTGGTGCATGTTGCATGATTTTGTTTGATTGTTGCGTGAAAAATTGTGTGGTAGTGGCACCAAAAATGCTCCTCATTTTCAGGTGCCATTGAAATCAATGGTACCTGCGCACGCTAACATGCAATTTTTAAAAGCGCGTTTTCAATTCTGCCCGTGATTTAAAATCCCTGTATGTGAACGGAGCCTTAACGTTAAACTCTGGGTGGATTTTCTAAAACCATTTTAACAGCAGAAATTTCATGTGTGAGAATGTGCCTCTTAAAGTGCCTTTTGCTTATGTGATGGGCAGTGCCAAAACCATGCTAGCACATTGGTAGCGATTATAATGTTCTGGTGTGTTGTCATACTGGGTTTCACTTTAGAATCATGCATTTTGAAATTGGCCTTTTAAAGGGAAACTTTCAAAGCCACAATTAGGCCTCATTTACACCACACGTGAAGAAAAACTGATGGAAACTGACAGGCAGATTTCACTTGCAGAGACATCCGGTTTAATGCATGCTTCAATAATTTCTCCTACCACTAAACGCTGCTAAAAACCTGTGTGCACATGGACATATAGGCTAACATGCCAGGGCAGTTTAGAGGCAGGAAAAAATTGCCAGACGCCCCTAGGAGCAGCTTTTATAAATGTCCAGTGTGCATGAGGCCTAATTTGCATAAATTAGTATGTTTGCATAAAATTCAAAATATTTAACATTGACGTACAAAGCTGTTCATAACACTGCCCTAAACTACATCACCGACCTGATATCCATCTACCATCCAAAACGCACTCTCCGCTCCTCACAAGACCACCTTCTCTCCAGTTCCCTGGTCTCCTCCTCCCATGCCCATCTTCAGGACTTCTCCAGGGCTTTCCCCCATCCTCTGGAACTCACTACCCCAATCCATCAGACTGTCATCTTCCCTCCTCGCCTTTTAGGCGCACCCTGAAAACCCATCTCTTCAGAGAAGCCTACCCTGCCCTCACCTAATTTGCTGAACTCCTCCGCTCTTCCCACCACTTAATCCCCCACAGCTATTTCCTCCTGTACCACTCTCTCCTCCCTCCTAGATTGTAAGCTCCAAGCAGCAGGGCCCTTGAACCCCTCATGTATTGTATTGTTACTGTACTGTCTCGTGTACTGTCTCCCATTATAATGTACAGCGCTGAGCAAACCATTGGCGCTATATAAATACTGTATAATATAATACCTGTACACATTTGTCCTAGTTGAATGCCCAGAATTTTAGGTGCAACAAGTACACATAAACTGGTGCATGGACAGCTATATGACATGCAACTGGATTTGCATCTAATTTTGTTGCTAATGTACTTGATGATAAATGTCCTTTTTTTGTATAAGCTTTCTTTGTATGGTTGATCCTGCCAGTGTTTAATTTAAAGTAGGCTTTTAGGCACTATAACAACTGTCTTATATGCAGCTGCCCCTCATCGCATTGCATGCAATCAATCACAAACCACAATTTTTAATACTCTAACAAATGGCTTTTCCATCTAGAACTGGATTTTTTAATGCTGAGTATTTTTTTATATGAAAATCCTAACTTTGAAAATGCTATTGTGTGTTTGAACTGATTATCTCTTGTATTTTTTTTGTTTTGTTTGCAGGTATGACAGTAAGCGCTGTAGCAGCATTAGTGCTAATGTCCTCTTCTATAGTATCAGTGGTAGGGTCCCTCTACCTGGCATACATCCTGTACTTTGTGCTGAAGGACTTCTGTGTTATCTGTGTCGCCACCTATTTGCTGAACTTCATTCTTCTTATTATCAACTACAAACGACTAGTTTACTTGAATGAGGCCTGGAAACAGCAGCTGCAGGATAAACAAGAATAAGAGGCCTCTTGAACTTTGACTCATGTCTGAAGGACACTGCTTCCTTAATGTTTATTTTGCAGTACATTTTTATTGGTTGGGGGAAAGACGGTTTCCAAGATAAAGAACAATCTTAACCAACTTTTTTTTTTTTTTTTTTGACTGAAAGGGCCCTGGATTATGTGTATTTGCTATTGCACCTCGTAATTGACATGGATGAAGGCGTGATCATTTGAGAATCTGTGACAAGCTTTAACTGTACTTAACAAGGTGTTTTGAATGGCACATTGTCTTTTTGCAGCATATTTTCCTCTTGTGCCTCCCTCTGGTCAGTGTATGTTTTGAGTGTCAAATCTTCAATGCGGGTAATGTTTGTACTTTCCTTTTTTTTTATTATTTGTGGCTAATTGGCTGGACATTCTGTTGCCATGCTTCTGTGGATATTCTAGCCCTTTTATGTTTGCAGAGAACAAATGAACAGCTTTTAACCTTTCACTTGCTTGTCATAACCACAGCCATATGGGTTTTGCCATGCTGGAGAAATGTACCACAAGGATACACTCTTACAAGAGCATTGTTCTTGCACTAGTTTCAGTTTTAATCTGAATTCTACTAGGTATCTGTTCTGCGGTCTTATCACACTTAATACCGCCTGCAGTCTGACAATGTAAGGTTTCATGCAAACCAGTAACACAAGCAAGTTGAAAGGAAGCCAACATATTTCCAGTGTTTTAGGGTTAATTTAACCATCCAGCATTAAAAATAATGGAAATGCTCCCAGAATTTTAATTGGGTGGTCAGTTTACATTATTAATTCTTAAATACTTTTATCCTAGAATTCTAGTTAAACTGCATGATACCACACCCCTCAGAAAAGCTCTGATTGAACCTGGTGTGTGTGTGTGTGTTTCATAATGTGGTAACACTAGTGTAGTATATGCCTGGGTATGCTTAACATGCAGCACCCAATAGCATAGGTTGTCTTGAGCCAAGTAAAATTGTTCTTTCTAAGCTGCACTTCCAGGGTTAAATTTTGTGTAAATGTTTTTTCCTTCCAGCAATAGCAGCAAAATGGTGCAGATTTTGCCTACTCTGATCATGGTCGTATAGCAATCATGAATGCTGCATCAGCATGGAAGCGTTTGTCAAAATAGTTAGGCTTAGGCATGTTGTCCTGCTGTTCAAAAGATAAGTTCACCTTTTGCCAAAAAATAAATGCACTATTTTTTTTTATTTTTTTGCAGTTAAAAAATAATGTGCAATTACTATATATTTTTTTTTTTTTTGTTATATTTTAGGAGCCTGTAAAGCATTGCACCAGTGATCAGCAGATCGCTGGTGCAATGCAGGATTCCTGCAGACCTGTCTGTATCTGTGTGCTTGTACCTTGTATGAGCAGACAGTTACTCTCTGACAGGAAGACACAATGAACTACCACAGCACTGTGGTAGTACATTAAGAACTACAAGCCAACAGTCGCAAAGGATGTCGGGACTTGTAATTTTCCATTCTCAGAACTCTGAGTAATGCGAGCAGGCAGGTGGAGCCCAGCACACCCACAGTTTTTTAAATTGTGACCGCTAGCTGGGGGAGAAGATCCCCCGCTAGCTGTTACATGGGGGGGAGAATATGGGTGTAACATCTAACGTGTTACGAAAGGTGAACTTATCCTTTAACAACTTGTTGGAAGTCGCCTCATTTACAGCACTCTCAAATCAATATGCTTCAAAAGAGATGGGTGGTAGTGGCAGAGTTGGTGCTAGAGCAGGGGTTTCCAGGCGTTCAGGCTGACATTTTTAGCTGAAGAGGAATTATGGGATTAAATATGGCATTGCAGCCATGAGTCAAACGCTTGAGTACAGCCCCATTGACTTCAGTGGCCAAGTTTGTCATGAAGTATTGCAGCTGCAGTATGTGTAAGTGCTTCTTTTTTTTTTTTTGCTTGTAGGTGCGGTGCAGTCCTACTTGGTTAATTTCACAAGCTTGCCAATCTTGACATTCATAATTACATTTGGCCTTAAAGCAAGGCATCTCATCCTTGGCCTTAAGCTAGCCATCGACTGATCAGATCTTGGCCAGTTCAGCAGGGACTGGCTGAGAATCAATCCATCTATGGGCTGGCTGTATTGAAGTCAATCCATCAAACAACCAGCCTGTTGGATTTTTGGCATGTGTTTACTGCTGGCGGCTCTAGCCACCAGCAATAACAGTTGTGTTCTGCTGGCAGGAAAGACTCCCCACTGGCAGAACACAATAGCACTGTAGGAGGGTTTCTCCCATCAACATGAATTGTGTTCATGGGGGAATGGGAGTGATTTTTGTTCATGCAACCAAGAGTTGCAGGAAAGAAAATCTCATTGTCTATGGCTTGCCTATCTCTGGGAATAGTAATGGCCTTAAAGTTCTCCTTTTCCCCAGTCGGTATTAAATTGTGCAGCTTTCAAAAACCTATATTAACTTTGCCATACCAATTCCCACATCTTGCCTTGTTGCTAGAGTGTGGATACTGTTGGATGAGACAGGACATTGGGATTGCTATCTGCGAGTTTTTCAGCCAGGCTTCTAGTGGTGCCTAGATTGCCTACATGTTCAAGAATAAAATTAAAGCAAAACTAAAGCCATCAATTTACGTTTCATAAGTTACATTCCTGACATGCCTCGAATACTGTCACATTTACTTGTGTTCCCAACCAAACTGTCAAACTATCAAATCTCTGGTGTCATAACTGATCACGTGCAGCATCATGGCAGTTGCAGGTCAAACTGAGGCTAAGATGGCTGCTTCCTTGGCTAAAAAGGATAGGAGGGTTTAGTTCTGCTTTTAATGAACATTTTACAAAGTTGCTCAGTTTATTACCTACTGGGGCCCATTGACTACATAGGCTATATTTTGAAAAGCAATGATAAAAAAGAAAAAATATCAGTGCACTAATGTATATTGTAACCAGTCCAGTCCATAAGTCCCAATAAAGTCTGTAGTTGGTAACCGCTTTAGATGGCAGCCTTCCCAGAGTGAGCCAACTCTGTATACATAATAAGGAAAGAGAGAGAGGTGCCTTCTAAGTGCAGGATAAAAAGATATTTAATAAGCCACAAATGGTAATTTCTTCCCATGTGACATTTTCCGCTCTGCTTGCGGTTCACGCTGGTTACAGGTCCTTCCGGTCGGATGACAGTGCCTGGGACTCCTGACCATCCATAGCAGCTTGGGATCCCCTCCACCATCTACAGTGGTTAGCACCCCACCAAACAGATTCCTGCAGGACTAGGATCACGGCTATACTGACAGGCTATTTTATTCCGCATTGTGAGTTTTACCATTTGTGGCTTATTAAATATCTTTTTATTCTGCACTTATAAGGCGCCTCTTTCTTTCCTTATATTTTGAAAAGGTGACCTTGCTGTAGGCTTTAATTTTGACTTTGTAAGCCATGCAGCGAGACTCTAGACTGCCATGACATGTAAGCCATGCAGCGAGACACTAGACTGCCATGACATGTTTTAATGAATGGTACTGTCTTGGCTGATTTTCTCAACTATGCTTGAATATTGTGTGGCTTTTCTTTCCTCCGTGACTGTGCACCTGAGAAACACATCATCTACACAGAACTTATGGCTGGCTTTCAACTGTCTAACTTCTGGCTGCACCTGCTCATTGTGGCAGTTCTGTTTTTTTTTTCTTCTCATTCCAGTCATGTGTAACATTTGAAGAGCATCTGCTAATCATAATTTGAACTGAAAGTCTTGGGTTTAGGGCATATAGAAATGGCTCATATTCATTTTTGAACAAGATAATTTTTTTCTAAGTCTTGTTTAATATTGCAGAAGGCTGTAAATGCTGAATTTAAGGCAAACTAATAAATTCACAGAGGAAACGTGGATATCTGCCAAAATATTTTTATAAATATTTTCGGTGACTCTTCACACATGTGCCACACTGCATAATGAGGTTAGGGGGTTTGTTTAATGTGACCAGCATTCACCCAGCCCTGATGAATTCTGACCATTTGATACAGTGATTTCCTATAATCCTCAGCTCCATCTTGTGATCATAGTGCAGTTTTTTTTTTATTAAGGTTTTTCTGAAGAAATACGGCATTATGGCCAATAAATAGCACTAAAAATCATTTAGGAAATTGTTGTTTTGGGCAATACGCAGTCAGAATTTGTCCAGGCTGGGCTAATACTTCATTACATTCATCCCAGGAATTGTGTATAAATACACTTGCGTGTCACTACTATTCACCTGCTAGCATTGTCTCATGCTTATTGAACTATGAAAGGGCAATCGTCATTTGTGGGGGGGAAGAGTTCTACTGAAAGATACCCAGATACCATATCCTCTATATCCTAGTGCCTGAAACCCTGTTGGCCCATCAGACAGTGGAGTAGCCTTCACATGACCTAACCATTCAGTCTGACTGCTGGTTGAGAAGATCATGAATGAAAACCCATTGAGCGACCAGGGATTTGGTTTTACATCTTCTCCTTAGAAACTGTTGGCTGCTTAGATATCATGCTGTTCCTATGGCTTCAGTACTGTACTGACCTGGAAGAAGTATGCAGTTAAGAACCTCTCGAATGTTTGGACTTTCCAGTTGTGTATACTGGTTCAAGGTCAGTGACTTGGCATTTAAAGCCAATGGATTAGTATAATAGCTGGGCAACAAGCATTTTCTGGAAGCTAGCAGAGACAAACCTCCACACTTCTCTAACGTGTTAACATTCTGTCAATACAAAACTAGACAAATTTAATGTTGTGGAGTTCGACTTTGAGAATGAAGTATAGAATAAGGGCTTCATCCAACTGGACAGCTTGTAGGACCTTGTAGGTCCTATACTTTTTGCCTATTTTTGTCAGTTAAGTGGCCCCAGAAAAATACTGCAGATAATCCAAACATCCCTTTTTTATTGGGACACTTGTGAAAACCCAAAACAATCTATGTACTAGTGTGCTTTTTAGACCACCGTGAGTGAAAACTTTAAAGATGTACTGCAGATCTAAGACTAGGTTGTGTCCT